ATGTATTGTGATGGGAAAGTCTGCTGTTAGGGACCTCTCCAAAGGACTGAAGAGCAATGGTGTCTCTCTGGAGACTAAGGTGCGTCTGATACAGGCCATGGTCTTTGCTATCACTTGTTATGCATCAGAGAGTTGGACAGTGGCTAAGGAGAAGGAGAATTGATGCCTTTGAGCTTTGGTGCTGGAAAAGAGTATTGAGAGTACCATGGACTGCTAGGAAAACAAACAGATTCATCCTGGAAAGGGTTAAACCAGGCGGATCCCTGGAGGCAAGGATTCTGAGGCTCCATCTAACATACTTTGGACATGTTGTAAGGAGGGACCGGTCCTTGGAGAAGGACATCATGCTTGGGAGGGTGGAGGGACAGAGCAGGAAGGGAAGACCCTCTCTGAGGTGGATAGATTCAGTGGCTGGGGTAATCGGGATGGGTGTGTTGGAGACAGTGCGATTGGTACAGGACAGAGCAGAGTTTAGGGCTGTTGTACATAGGGTCACTATGAGTCACAAGCAACTTGATGGCACACAACAACAACAACAACAACAATAGTCAATCAAGAAAAGAAAGATTCTCACCACTGTGCCAACTGGCAGCACTATGACCGATGAAGAAGAAGTTGAGGTTGTTAACAATTACAGCTTGCTTGGTTCCACAATCAACACTCTTGGCACCAGAAGTCAGGAAATCAAAAGATGACTTGTACTGGGAAAATCTGCTGTCAGGGACGTCTTGAGAGTACTAAAAATCAGTATCAGTCTAGAGACTAAGGTGCACTTGATCCAGGCCATGGTCTTCACAATCACTTGCTATCCATCAGAGAGCTGGACTTTGACTAAGGATGACAGAAGAGTTATGCCTTTGAGTTATGGTGCTGGAGAAGAGTTTTGAATATACCACGAACACCAAGAAAATAAATAAGTCTGTCTAGGAGAGGGTGAAACCGAGTTTCTCCTTGGAGGTAAGTATTTTGAAGCTCCTTATTACATACTTTAGGTTCATGGTCAGGAAGTGTGGAGGGACAGAGCAGGAGAGGAAGACCCTGGATAAGATTGAGTGATACATAGAGGGGAATTTCTTCAATATAGTAAAAAGTATTTATGAGAACCC